CTCAGAGTCAAGTGCGGATGCTGGTACCGGTCGAGACGCCCACATTCTAGCACACCCTCCCAGTGGTGAGGAGCCAGTGGGCTTGGAAACAGTACTGATAACAAGCACCCTTCACACTCCCACCAGTTTTGAAAAAAAAAACTACACTTGGAAAAGCGTTGGCCTGGGTTTTCACCAAAGTTTCCCTGGGTTCCAAGTACCCCACCCCTTCAACCAGGGTGAAGGGTGGTTCCACTTTCATTTGTCTTTCATATCAAGGTTCTGTGTTTAGATTTCTGCTAGAGGAAGCTAGAAGTGTGCTGATGTGAGCCCACCCCAGCAGAGGACCTGTGAAACCCAGAGCTGCAGGTGGCCTGTGCTTGGGACATACCCTGTCCCCAGCGGGTGGGCTCAGCATGCAGGAGGTCAGGTGGGGGGGGGGCAAACCCTCCCTGGCTGCTCCCATCCCTCTGGTGGGCCTCAGGGTCTGCAGAGAATCCCTCTGGCCCTGTGCGGATCTTGCGCTGGGGCTGTCACAAGTGGAGGTGGGACACATGGAGGGGGTCCTGGGGATTGGCACCAGGTAAGCTACTGCCTGCCTGATGAGTACATGTGCTAGAAAAGTGGCTATAGCCCAGCCTGTGGGGAACCAGGAAACAAACTGTGTGGGTGAGAGAGAGAGAGGGAGGGAGGAGAGAAGCTAGAATTACTGTGTGGGTGGGTATGAAAGAGAAAGAGATGGGGAAGAGGAAGGAGGACAGAAAGTGGTTCCGTCTATACGTAGGTGTGTGACAGAGGGTGTGCAAGAGTGGATATGCCTGTAGGAGAGAATGTGTGCGTGCAGGAGAGATTTTAAAGTGTAGGTATGTGAGCAAAAGAAAATGGAGAAAAGAACATGCTTTTAACCTGTATGTAAGGAAGGGAATATGTGTGCTTGGATGTTTCCAGGTGGGACTGTAGCTCTGTGTGCAAATCTGATACATGTGTCCACATGTGAAAGGTAGGCACGCCCGAGTGAGGGGTGTGTGTGTGTGTGTGTGTGTGTGTGGAAGGGTGTACTGCTGTATGCCCCATGCATGGATATGTAGGTATCTGAGGGCATGCATATGTGTGCACGTGTGTGCGGATGTGTGATTATATCCATGTGCGTATTTGCGTAAGAACATGGTGTGGAGATACCATGTGCATATATCACCCCTTTGGGGGGGTGTGACCGTGCATGAGTGCATGTGTGAGGCACGTGTGAGCCTGTGTGTCTTGCTCCCACACCATTGCCCTCCTATGCTGGTCCCTGTGGAAGTGAGAGGGGGCGTGGATGGTATCCCGCCCAGCCTCCTGCTCTGTCTACCTTCTCCCACAGGCCTAAAGAGCAGGCATCTTGTCTTTGGTCCAGTGACCACTGTCAGCTCCTACAGTGGCCAGGGGTTCCTCTGCCTCAACGTTATAGACACGGCCAGGGGCAGGGTGCATCTGACAAGCCAGATTCACACCCTCATCCCCACCTTAGAGGCTCAGAGCGTGTTCATTAGAGTTGGAAAGGCCCCCGGTAGCAAATGGCCTGGGGAGGAGGGAAGGTAGCTCTCCCCAAGCCACAGATGCAGGAGGGGCTGGATCAGTAGTGGGTCCCAGGTCTCCCTAAGTGTACGGGAGGGGGTGAAATATGGCTTGGCAGAATCCTCCACCATCCTCCAGAGCTTGAACAACCTTTTTCCAGCCCTAGGTGGGTGGAAGAACACAGCCTGCTGCCTTGTTTCCATAGAGACAAGGCAGCACAGAAGGTGGTTGAAAGCATGAGCCCAGACCTCCTGGGGTTCAAACCTCGGCTCCTCCACCCACGGGCCTAAGACTGTGACAAGTCACTTAAACTCATTGTGCCTTAGTTTCCTCATCTGTGAAGCAGAGGTAAGGAAAGTATGAACTTCATAGGGTTGTTCAGAGGACGAAATGAAGTAACCCATACAAAACAGGACAGCGTGTGGCAGCTGTACTGGGGGGCAAAAGCCCTGGGTTCCAGCTCGAGCTTTGTACCAACGGGCTGTGTGACCTTGGACAAGCTGCTTGCCATCTCTGGGCTTCGGAGTCTCCACAAGATTATCGCCACAATAATCTCGACCGGCCCTGCTGGTTATGCGCAGCTGAGACCTTGTGGTGAGGACAGTGGCAGTAGCTCCGGGCTCTCTTGGTGAGTTGTGGACCAGCTATTGCTGGCGGAGTCCCAATCATGAGCCCTGCCCGACACTTTCCTGCCCATATATGTTCTCTCCTGATGGCAGGAAGCTTGAGCTGCCGGCCACTGCTCACCTCATCTCTCTGCCGAGGATGACACTTTGCCCTGCTCAGCTGGTACTCAGGCTTTAGAGAAATGGCACCAGTGCCCACCCACCCCAGATGGTGGGTGCCCAAGGCAGAAGATGCCATGACCCATCCTTAAAACTGCCGGGGGCACTCAAGAGAGGCGGTATAATTGCAGAAGGACGGGGGTAATTGTCTGAAGATGCTTATAATCCTTTGGCAGTACTAGGAGGAAGCTTTAAAAGGAAGCCCTAATCCACTAATAACCTGGCAGCTCCACAGGCCTCTTACCTCCAGATCTCCAGGCAGAGAGAAGGGACTCTGGCCGCTCCCTTTCCTGAGGGAGCAGAAAGACCAGAGTGGGCTCTGACCCAAGACCACCTGGATTTCAACTCTCCTGCAAGACCCAGCTTCCTTCCTGCCTCCACCTCCAAGAAGACTTCCCTGAGACATTCGTCCTAAGGTCACTCCTGCCCCCTCCATCCTTAGAAATGTTCAGGCCAGAACTGGAGGCCATTTGGCTGGACATTAAAGGAAGAAATGAGCCGGACTGTGAGGAAGAAAGACTGATCATAGTCTCAGCTCCCACACTGACAATGTGACTTTGGGCAAGGGACTTAGGTGTCTGAGCCTCTGCTGTGTCACCTATAAAATGGGGAGATTAATATCTGCCTTGGAAGTCCATATAGTGATATGGACGAGAATGGGATACCACAAAATGACCTAGCTCTGTGTAAGGACCAACAGGATTCATTAAAGGTGGCCCCTCTCCTGCCTTCACTCATGGTCTCTTCCACTTCAGGAGGTCACAGACGACACTGTCCCCTTGTAACTCCAGAATACAGTGGTGGCTAAGAACAAAGTCCTGTATTCAAAAAACCATGGTTGAATCATGGCATAGCAGCTTACGAGTCAGGAGTCTTAGACAAGTCACCTATGTTCTTTGAGCCTCAATCTTCGCATCCGTGTAATGGAGATAATCGTAGTATGTCCCTCATGGAGATTGCTATGAGGTTAAGTGAAACGATATAGGTAAAGCTCTTAGCACAGTGGGCTGGGCACATAAGGACTTACTTAAATAATAGCTTTCATACTGTTGAGTTGGTGATGATCATTTTAATTATTATTAATGTCCATCATGTGATCACTCTAAAATTTCCAAAACACTAACCCAATCTAAGAGCATTGCAACCTCACGATAGCTCTGTGAGGTAGAGAGGGCTCCTATTTTAATTTCATTTTCACGAATGAGGAAACTGAAATTCCCCAAGGGAAAGCAGTTTGCTGGGGTTTGGCCGGTTGGTATCAGGTCCAGAACCAGCACCATGGCTCCTGACCCTCAGCCAGGGTCTGTGAGAGGGAAGGGAGCAGGTCCTGGGGCTTGCAGGCTCTTGGGGACCTGAGTTTGGGCTAACTCTGGTATGAGGGCCCATCTCCAAGTTCAAGGCTGCTGGGCCCTCCTGGGTCCTCCTTCTTCTTGCCCTTGATGCATCGAAGGCATCTGCTGGAGATCCCGTCCAGCTCCCTGTGTGACCCAAGCGTGGGGGAGTGGGGCGGGGGGGGGGGGGGCGGGCAATGCTGGCCATGGAGGGGGATCAGAGCCTGGCGAGAATTATTTCAGAAAGGAGAGTGGGCGGGACGGCCGGTGGGATGTCAGCCAGGGCAGCAGCCTTGCCTGCAGAGAAACGAGGTGTTCCTCCAGTTTCCTGACGCATTAGCCCTCCCAGGCCTGTGTGGCCCACGTGCCCTGTGCTCCCAGCATCTGCTGGCTGCGGCTCCTGCCTCAGTAAGCATGGCTGGGCTCACGTCCTCCCCGTCTGGACCCACTTCAGCGCTTCCATGGGCCCAGGCAATGAAGGTGATCCAGTGTGGGTTTCCCTGTCCTGCCCTGCTCTGCTGTCTCCTGAGCCTGTGGGGAAATGATCTCTCTCCCTCCTTTCCTTCCTCCCCGTCTTCCTTCTTTACCCCCTCCCTCCCTGACTCCCTCCCTTCCATCCTTCCTTCCTTCCTCCCTCCCTGACTCCCTCCCTTCCATCCTTCCTTCCTTCCTTCCAGGCAGTGCACCCTGAACTCTTCCTTATACACTGTCCTTGGGTCCTCGCTGCAGCCCAGGTGACATAGATCCTGCCTCTGTCGTCTCTAATAGATGGGAAACGGGGGCCTGGGGGAGGAATGTGGCCCAGCTCAGCCACCAACAGGCCGAGAGACCTGGAGCAGTCTCTTGCTCACTCTGGGCCTCAGTTTTTCCACCTGCAAAATCAGGAGGTCAGATTGGATCCGAGGCTTTAGCCTATACCTCGAGAACTCCACGAGGGCAGCAAGCTCATCTGCTCTGCCAAGTGCTGTGTCCCCAGCACCCTCGAGCAGCCGGGGTACAGTATGTTCAGTGAGGCCGTCCTGCCCCATCATTGCCTGGAATCCAAGGCCATTTGTTGCCACGAATGACAAGAGGGAGAGATGGACCTCCGTTTAGCCGAGCATGCTCACAGGGCTTTCTCTCGCGGACTTGTCATGTGCCCCCTTTGGCAGAGAAAAGAGTGGGCATAGATGCTGCACAGCTGGGTCTGCATGAAACTCCCAGCCCCCCGCCTGTCTCCCCACAGCTGTTAATTGGGGCGTGGCCGTGGGACAGTGAGGCACTGTTACGTATCATGGGAAAGTATGGTTGGGAGACCTGTGGGGTGTCCGGTGGGCTCTGGCAGTCCAGGAGGAAAGGGGTGTGAGCTTACCTGGTTTCTGGGCAACCCTGGACCCAGGGCTGGGCCTGGAGCTGGAGCGGGCTGTCACCACCTGCTGAGCCTTCACCACGTCCCAGTCCTGGCTGGCCCTGTTAACATGCTGGGGCCCCCGTCGTGCTTCCCTGAAGCAGCTGGGTGGCTGGATGCCCAGGGCATTGGGCAGCTCTGGTGCTCCTTGGGTGGCTCTGCAAGCCGAGTTGTCCCCATTCCTGTCCTCCTCCAAGTTCACGAGCCCTGCCTCTCCCTGGAGGCCCTCCTCGCTGCTGCTCTCCTCAGCCTCCAAGGCCAGACACCTGTAGCTCCCATCAGGGATCCGGAAGGTGCAGGGGGTAGGCCTGTCTTCGCTGAGTCCACGGGGTGGAGGTGGGAGGTGGGGACCCAGCATGATGCTGCCTCTCCTTAGTGAGGCAGAGAAGCTGGGGCCAGGCCAGCTACCTGTGTGAACACCGGTCTTTGCTCCTCTTGGGGTCTCCTCTCTGGCTCTCTGCAGCTTTGTCTTCCTCAGCCAAGTCCCAGAGCTGGGGCAAGGTCCAACCGTGGGGCCCTCCTGGACTGGGTGGGGTGGTAGGCCCCCAAACCTTCCTCTCAACCTGTGTCTGGTCTGTGAGGCCCTCCTTCAAGATGATCTACCTGCCCAGGGAGAAAAGAAAGAGCAACATGAGACAGTCTGCTGGGTGTTCTGGGCTGAATGTCTGAGACCTGCCCACCTTGAGGGGGCCCTGAGAACTGGCTGGGGCTTGGGGTACAGGTCTCACACACCCATGGAAAAGTCCCAAACTTCAGTCATTCAACATCCCAAATTTTCACCATATCCTTATGCCACCTGACACCTTATTTGCTTAATATTTTTCCATAAATCAACTTTAAATAACTTACTTCTATTACTTCAGACTTATCTTAAGCAATAATTGCGGGAAAACCACAAGTATGTTGTGCTAAGTCGTTTCCCTCCTAATACACATTAAATAAGTATCTAGTTATTTAAAAATACTTAACCGCCTAGAAAGAATTCCCTCACACGCCTGCAAAGGTACATACACCATAGGCATCACAGGAACGATGGGGCGGAGGATGCAAGGCTGGGGCCAGGGACCCCCTGAGGGGGCTGTGCCCCAAGGGGGACGGAGGCGGCAGTGTGCTTTTGTGCCCAGGCTTTGAGCTAGACCCCGAGCCCTGCCACCTGTGGAGCTGGCAGCAAGTCACATGGCCTCTCTGAACCTCAGCTTTCCCATCTGTGAAATAGGAACTCTAATATTTCCAATGTAGTGTTGCGTGGAGAATTAAGTGAGAAAATGCGTGCCGAGGACTCAGTATGGTTTCTGAGATATAATTTAATACATGTTGGCTATTCTTTTATTACACAAAAATGTCTTGAGCTTCTGTTGATGGCAGACACCGTACAAGCTAGTGGGAATACAATGGGGATAAAGAAGATACGGTACTCTGGCTTCATGAAGCCTTAAAATCCGGTGGGGGGAGCTGTGAATGATAACAAGAACCATAATAATAACAGTATGATTATTTATAAATGTTAACAAAGTTGATGATTTCGGAGAGAGGGGATGAGGAGGCTTCTCATAGGGTATGCGGGATGCGGGGAGGGGATGCGTGGGAGAGGAACTTGGGCGGGAGAACTGGCTGGGCTGGGAGGCAGATGGAGAGTGGGTGTGGAGGAAGAGGGAGGAGTCTAGGCTGCAGGTTTGTCGCTCTGGTGACAGGGTGATTTTGTTAATAGAGATCAGGAGTACCTGGGAAGGAGCAGGTATCCAGAGGAGCAGGGAGATGAGTTTGATTTGGCTTCCAAGGGAGATGAGTGTGGTCAGCTCCACGTAGGGGCCTGGAAAGCAGGGGAGAGCTCCAGGCTGGAGACAAAGGCTTGAAAATCATTTGTGGAGGCACAGGGCGGAGGTAGACAAGATGCCCCAGGATGGACAGCTAGAGCTTAAAACAGGGCCAGTGGTTATGTACACTGGGAGGAAACCCTGGGATTTATAGATCTTGGTTAACAGATTCCACCACCGCTTAGCTATATAACTCTGGCAAGTATGCACTCTCTGAATCTCATCCTATTGGGAAATGGGGAGAGAAGAACCACCCCCCCAAGAAACACACACACACACACACACACACTGGCTGGCCATGAATAGTGGAGAATCCTGAGATGTGATGAAAGTCTGGGGACACTAGTGACCTCAGGGCTTACACTGACCTTGCCTGCTGTGGTCCTTGACCTGGAGGTCACTCCTCCGCCCTCCAGGTGGGGTCAGGCCCCCCCACCCCCCACCCCAGCAGGCTGGGCCAAGGCCTCGGCCTCTGGGGAGCTGTGCCAGGAGAGTGTGGTAGGCAAGGGGAAAGATAAGTGCATTACCAGGCCCTGGGGCAAATCAGCGCCAACCAGGGAAAGGCAAACAAGCGTCAGAATCAGAAAGATAACAGGCACCTGTTACGGCAGCCTCTGTGGCAGTGAAATGAGCACAAAGAAGCCAACCTTCTGCCCAGAGAAGAACTGAACACCTGTTCCACACTGGGTTATTCACTGAGGTTGTTGAAATAAATCATCACGACAACGCTTCGAGAGAGGTACTGCTGTTATCCCATTTCCGAAGTGAGGAAACTGAGGCTCAGACAGGCGAAGTGGCTTGTGCCTAAGTCACACAGCTAGTAAGCGGCAGGGCTCCATCTGAACCCAGCTCTGACACCTTGACCGTGGGGGTGGACACAGAGACGTGGAAGGGATAGCTCCGGCGCCTCTCTCCTCTCTGTGCCTTTTCTCACTCAGCTGCTGCCAGGTTTCCACACTAGAGGGTCACAGAATCTTCGAATCTCATGAAGAGCCAGTAGAATTCTGAAAAGACCTAACTGGCCATGGGACCTTGGGCAGGTGTCTTCTGTATCCCTGAGTCCGCTTGCCGCAAGGCACAATGGCTGGGGTTGAGCCGGATGATGCCGGAGGGTCCCTCCGACCCTGGCATCGCAGGATGCCGTGATTTTAAGCCCATGGAGCCCCGCTCCCCACCACCCGCCTCCACTACCACCCACACCGTCACAGAGCCAGATGGCAACAGGCGGGAGTGGGTGCGGGGGGCAGGGCTCCCTCTGACGCCCCACAGGGGCCTCGCCTTGCTCTCTCTCTGCTTCTGTTTTGCTGTATTTGACGGTGGCCACGGTTTCCAGGAAAGAAGAGAGAGGCGGAAGAGTTAACTTTCCGCCACCCACACAAATATTTTTGGCCGGCTTTGTCTTCACGTTGCCAAGCCAGGAGGGAGGGGTTGGCAGGAGCACTCCAATGCAAGTCTCCCTCCTGAGGAGGGAGGACTCCCAACCCAGCTGGGGGGCCTGGGCAGGCCCCTTGCGGCCTGAGTGCTGGAACACCCACTGAGCTCAGGAGCCTAGGGCAGGGGCAGGGTGGTCAGGACCCACAGCAGGAATGGCAGCTTCCCCTTACTGAGCAGCCTCTAGTGCACGGCCAAGCCTTTTGCCGAGCACTCCTGGGTGGCAGGTGTGTGTGCGCTGCCTACGGATGAGGAAACTGAGGCAAGCAGAGATGAAGTCCAAATCCAGAGGCACAGCAGTGCTGAGGGGTAGAGCAGGACGTGAGTCCAGCTGCTGGGCTCTGGGCTCTTACCCTCTGCTCCCAGTGGCTGGAGACTATCTCCGGCAACCCCCGCAGGGGACCTGTCTGTGTGGACACATCTCCAAGGTGGGCAGGAGAGAGCCTGCTCCAACCTCAGCAGAAACAGGAGGGGGGTCCTCTAATTCTGGCTCCCCCAGACCCACCTCCCTCATCAGGCCGCAGGCTCCAGGGGTACAGAGCCTCAGCAGGCAGGGCTGACACAGAAGGCACAAACCTGTTGCTCTTTTCTCAGAGAGGGCAACTCTGAGCCCAGAGCCAGGGAGGAGAAGCCCAGGTTACCCAGCAAATCAGATGCAAGCTTGGCACTAGGACCCAGGCGCCCAGGCACCTGCCTCCCACTAAGTCCCGCTCCACCCTGTGGGGTCAGCTTTCCCTCCTCCCTCTCCTGACCTCCGGCAGTCCAAACAGGGTACCCAGCTGAGCTGAGAGTCAGATGCTCTATACTCCCTGTCCATACAGTCTGAGGGCCTGCCCAGATCTCCTGAGGGTGGGCCCAGGGAACATGGCCTTGGGAGCCTCATGTTCCTCCTGCTGTTCGCTATGTGGTGGGGGAGACACTGGCTTTGGAATCAGATCTGGGTTCAAATTCTGACTCTACCATTTAGTGGCTGCCTGACCGTGGGCAAGTCTCTTCATATTTGTGAGCTTCAGCTTCCCCAGCTGCAAAATGGGTTAAAATAGGATGTACTTCAAAGGGTTGATGTAGGGATTCATTGAAAAACATAGGCTCATTCCTTCACTCCGAAGAGAATGAGGGAGCATTGTTGTATGCAGCTCAGCTGCTGGGCCCTGGGGATGAACGTATAGCCAGATGAGTGTACAGCACAGTCTGGCCTCCCCGGATTCCGCATCCCCAGTTCCCACAGCCTGCTTTGTGGCTGCAGGGGAGGGTAGGTAGAGGGAGTGAGGGGTGGTGAGGGTCAGGCTTAAGTAGGTGCATTGCAGGCAGGGGTCAGGGCCTGGGGTCCCAGTTTTGACTCTCCCACTGACTTAGTAAGTCATGTTGGGGAAAATCACAGGATCTGATTCTACAGTGGGGGGATGGAAGTAGGCAGAGAGGGGAGAAGCAGCCCAGAAAGACTAGACTCTCATTCCTCTGAAGGCCCTTTTGCCCCAGAAGTCTCCATACCTAGCCTCCCCGACCTGCAGTCCCTTCTTGTCTCCACCCTCTACAGGGTCTAGTCCATTCTTCTAAAGTGCAGCTTTGAATGTGTTGCTCACTTGCTCAAGGACCCTCCATGGCTCCCCATTGCTCACAGAATTAGAAAAAAAAACAGTTGTAAACAAAGGGAAATGCAGATTCAAAGGCAGATCTCATGATTCTTGGCTAAGGGGAAGGAAGGAGGGCTTCCTGGGGATGATGACGCTTCAGGTGGATTTGAAGGACCTTGACAGGAAGTGCTTGGCATTCTGATGGTTGGAAGGTACTCCATCCATTAAGGCCCAGGACCATTTGGGGATGAATCTGGAGAAACATGATGGCCTGGATAGGCTGAGGTTACATTTGTGGCAGGGCAGAGGGAGGTAAGGCTGAAAGACAAAATTGTGACAGGCTGCGGTTTCCTGGACCCTCTCTCCTCCTGGCTTGAGAAGAGATGCAGAGGGCAGCCCGATAGGACAAGGGGAGCCACTGCAAGGCCCAGTTCTTGGGGGTGGGGCCGGGAGGAGAAGGTGGGAGGCTGAAACGAGGGCTGGCTTGCAGGGATCCCTGCCAGAGGAACATTTTGGAGCAATTTCCTCAACACCTGGCACAGAGCCAGGCACAT